TCCCTGTCCTGCCTTGCCCGGTCCAAGATATCCTTTTAAAACCAAAACAGCTTGCAACAATCCAGCCACACTGCTTTATTCAGACCCATTTCCTGTCTGCATCCAAACAACTGATTTAAATATGGACATTTGGGATAACAGCTGTAAATTGGTTAATTGACATTGACTCTTTTGCTGGTTTTAGCAGCCATTTGTTTTCAAACAGGCATTCTGAGAGCTATTAGTTCATTTATTCTGCAGAGGTGAAAGTCTGGAGATAATCAAAGACAAGGGTGTGTTTACATTGAAAACACACAATATCAGGAAGACCTACAGATTACGGATAAAACTTGGGGGTGATGAGCAAGTTTTCTAAACATCCTGAAAAGACTAGGAGGACATGGAAAAGTTGCTTCTGAATTGCACTTTTTCAGGCTGCAGTTCCTAGCCTTTTTATCTCAGGAAGTGAATTCTGAGCAAGATGAAGGAAGGAGGGCAGGTGGGAGGGAAAGACGGGTATCATTTGGGAGGAAAAGCCCCTGACTTTACATTATCAGTCTCCTGAGATAATAAAAGAGGCATCTCACATCTGAGATGGCACTAAATCTGTATGCAAGCCATCTGTGTTGACTAAGAAAAGACAGGGCCTGGAATGTTTACTATGATCTTCAAGCAGCTCCTTGATCTCTTGGTGAGACTCGCTTTCTTTGTGGGAGTCTCTGAAGGGAGATGAGCTTTGATTGCGTTAAAGCAGGCTGAACTTGAAAGAGCAGCCTGCAGCAGAGCCCTGATGACCTTTCAGGAGCTTAGTATCTTAGGATCAAGATGAAACTAACCCAAATGGTGTGCCTCAGTTTAGAAATGGCCTCTCTATGCCACATTAGTAGCTTTGCCCTGATTACAGCGTTGATTTCCCCCGCTTGCCTCAGCAACTGTACTCTGCTGATGAGCGAGACTGCCGGGCAGATAAGACTGAAGTCAGTTCTGCACAGTAGGATTGAAAGGTAAGCTGTCCCGACAGTGTTGTCTGTGAATTTCCTGTCATTTTGAGCAAAAACCTTCTTTGCCTCAAGCAGAGACCACAGATTGAGATAATCAGAAGTAAATATAGAAGGAACCAAACATATATACATACACACAACACACAGGCAGGCACAGGAAGTGTGAGGCTATTTATTGAAACAAAGGCAGTTATTTTTGTCAGGAGGCATGGCCACCTTGGTGGCAACGCTTGCGTCAATGCTGTTCCTTTGCCAACTTCCTCAGCAGATATTATGGGCCAGGACCCTCATTCTAACCCTAACGCTAATATAATTGAGGATGAGCTTTAATGACTTTAGAGCATTAGCACTCTCAGGAGGAATGTGCACCATTAACCTGGCTGCAGCCTCATTATTGTCTGTCATGGGAACATTGGTACATTATACCAGAGTATTTCCATTAAGTGTACAGCAAAGAGGGGTATTTACAATGTGGGTCTCAGCCAGAAAAACAAATCTTCATGGTATTTCACTTTGAGAGGGGGAAAAAGGAAACATGGAGTTGTCAGAAAGTGATTGGTGTTGTAAAATTAAGGAAATCTACTGGGTCATGCTAAGGAATTAAGTATAAATATGATAAATAAAATAAATAAAAGAATTACCTCTACTGCACTGCCCCAATAGATGTATCCTGTGCTTATAACCACAGAAAGAGCGAATTAGCAATAGCAATGTTACTGAATCTAAGCTATCCTTCTTAGTTAATCAGTTAAGGCATGATAATGTGCATTCTTCCAGTTCTTGGCCTGGCATATTTTGTGCTGCCCCAACATCTGAGCTGTAATCTTCATTAGTAAGGAGTCTCAAGGCTCACTCATAAGTGGTCCTGTCTTTAGAGTTTTACCCTCTCACAATTTAGGTACACTGATTCATCCAGCTTTGATTTTTCTACTATGTATTGTGCATAGCTGGTAGGTCAGACATAAAGACAATTGCTAACTTTAAAGTGTGACAAGGAAGCCATGGGCAAAAATACACAGAGACTTTGAACAGAAACTTCAGCCATCTTTCAAGATGTCTAGCTAATTGTTTGCCAGTGGAGAAATACTTGATTCATTTGAGCTACTTTGAACATTGGTCTTTCAGAAGATTGAAAAAGTGTATTCAAAAATATGTTGATGATGTAGAAAGGACATCTGAGATAAAGCAGGATGAAAGTTGTTCCCTCTGCAATAACTTTATCCCAGCTTCCACCCCACCAATCTTTCAGTTGGGTTGGTTTTAATGGGCTTTCAGAAGGCAGATAGATTTAGGGTTACCAAATGCCCAGCAGAAGGACATGACTTCCTTTTTGTCCTCATATCAGCCATCTGGAAGCCATTGCCTGCTTTTTGAATGTGTTGTTTGTTTTCATTTTGAATTGTTTTCACAATAGTAGCCACTGAAACTTTCTGATAGTGTCACCTTGTAAATTGTCTGCTTTTTTCCCTTCTCATCCATCAAAAGACCTCATAGCCTAGATCAGTGGTGAAATCCCAATTTTTTTACTACCGGTTCTGTAGGCGTGGCTTAGTGGGCGTGGTGTGGCATGGTGGATGTGGCTTGGTGGGCGTGGCAGGGGAAGGATACTGCAAAATCCACATTCCCTCGCCACTCTGGGGCCAGCCAGAAATGGTATTTGCCGGTTCTCTGAACTACTCAAAATTTCCACTGCCGGTTCTTCAGAATCTGTCAGAACCTGCTGGATTTCACCCCTGGTTAGGACATTTGCAGATGGTGATGGTAAGACAGTGGCCAAGTGGCATCTCAAGTGCCCTTTCCAGAAAAACCAAACGGCTTCATGGTATGAGTTATATACCGTAGCTTTTTTAAAAAATCATGATTATCATCATACAACACTGATAAGCAAGTAGCCAGAAGAGATGGCATTGATGCCTCTGCCTTTTAACTTAATCCTTGCCATTTGCCCTTATTTTATCTCTCTACTTCTATTAATCTTCCCTGCTTTTGTGTCCTTCTCTTTTCCTTTCCTTTTCAGGTTTAAGGGCACAGCCACACATCCCGTTTCCCCATGTCTTTAATTCTGCTAACTTGAAGTGTGGAAACAAAGAGCAAGGATGTGCATGGATACTCACAGGTTCTGCAGCAGCAAAAAATAAAAGAAATTAAATTTAAAAACACCCCACTTCATATTATAGGTAAAGAAAATTATTTACCTGTACTCCTCTAGCCCTATTACATCACACTTCATTTGTCTGACTGTCTGCCAAAAAATCCTGGAATCTCCTCTCACGGCTTAAGCCAGAGGTCTTCAATGTCAGTTTTAAGACTTGTGGACTTTAAGCATAGCTGATTGGAGAATTCTGGCAGCTGAAGTCCACAAGTCTTAAAGCTGCCAAGTTTGAAGACTTCTAGATTTATGTCCTTTAATTTATTTTCTGATTCCAGCAGTTTCCACCTTGAAATCTACTACTGTTCTCCATTGATCACATGACTCATCATATGGTTTGATGGTGAAATTTGAAAAGTATGCCAATATTATGATGCCATAATATTGCTACGCTATGAAAATAAAGATCTGCTGGAAAAACATTGAGGTGGAATAACCAGTCTTTCTGAGGCTGGAAAAAATAATTTCATATCCAGGTAGCCTAAGCAGATTTTTGCAGGCTTTTTGCTGTAATTTTTATTGTAGATACAAAGAAAGTTAAACAGTTAGGGGGTTTTCCTTCCCTTCACACCACGAATTCGGCCTCCTTATCTGTATCCTCCTTTGTCTGTTCAGATAGTTGGAAACTTTAGGTCAGTGTTTCTTAAAATATGGTCCAAGGTTTCCTGAGAAGCTCTCATCACCATTTCAGGGATCTACAAAAATCAAAATTATTTGCCAGATATTGATATTTACAGAAAGAAAAAAATGTAAATGTGTGGGAGTTACCAAAAAAAACCCTGCAATCTTAAGGCCACAATATAATGCAATATCTGTATCTCTCTGCCTTTGTGTGTTTAACGGACAGGGGACTGGATGTCTCATTCTTAAAGAGTTCCTATTGGTTAGTTCTCTTGCTTCTCTTTGCAGGAGCAAAACAATGGTAATCTGTGGGGCCACCCCATTATTATCTGCAGATCAGGGCTTGATCATGAAGGATTGGACAGAGTATAAAATTAGTGAAAAATTGTCAGGACAGGATCAACACAAAACAGTGGACAGAATCACATCTATTGACAGGCATTATGGGTTTTTTAATGTTTTTGAATCCCACGCACAGATGCCCCGAGCGTACAGAGATTGTTTGCAGTAGGCTTTACTCTGGGTCCCCACGCGAGCCCTTATTATCCTTAACTCAATGAGCTCTGTCCTGCTTCTAGAAATATATACACTGTAAGAGCGCTGAAATCTGACTTTTGTAGTTCCCATGGCAACCAGAAATATTGAGCAGCCTGTCTGTGGTTAACTGTTCATTAGTCACAAGTGAAACAGTTCCAACATAAGCCTACCGTTTGGGTAGTGAATGCTGTTCTTGAGAGACAGATGATGTGCCTGATTGCCTTTCTGGTTACCTTCATTTTTAATTCTTAGTCTTCCTCATCAGTTTCCTCAAACAGATCTAGCATCTGGACCCTTCCAAATTAGGCAATGCTGAGCATGATCCCATCTATTCAACTTTTGGTTTCCTTTATGCTAGCTGCAATTCGTCTCTTTCTCTTTTTTTTCTTTTTTCTAATCTGGCCAGTCTGTCTCAGAGATATCCATGGGATGTTTTTGTGCCTGCTAAGCAAGCAAGAATAAGGGTGGATGTTTTTGTGGTCTGATAATGTGAATCCCTTTGTGAAGGAAGCTGGGGCCCAATTCTAAACCATTAAGGCTTTAAAAAGGCACCTAGTGCAGCACACTCCAAGCCATTGTTGAGAAATGACGCAAAAAAACCACATCAGGAGGGAGAGGGAGAGGAAAAGCACTCAGTCACCTCCCTACCCCCTCCCTTCACCCATAGCAGGTAGCAGAAAAGCCACGGCAAGGACAGAAAAAGGGGTGCTTGTATGCATCGGATGTGGTGGAACAGACTAATGAGATTCACGCACCTTCTAGGCTTTATCCCACTAATGTTGGTGGAGATGTGGGGTGAGTAATTTTACAAGACTATGCTATCTGCACAAGTTCAAATCTCAGCAGGGAGTATAAATCACGTAGAGGCTTCTATATGGTCCCAGTTGCTAAGATTAAGCTCCAGCTCCTTTCAACTTAACTAGACAAAGACAAGACAGACACTCCTGTTGGGGCCAATTTTTTTGAACGAGGGGTATATGAAGGACTTTCAATACTTGGGAGAAAGATTAAGAAAAAACAGAGTTCCTGCGGTTTTCTTCCATCTGGAAAGTTTTCAGACCTGTCCATTCCTGGGAGGTTTGCATGTAGTGTTCCCATGTCTTCTTGCTTCATCTGGCAAGAAATTTGGGTTGGCTGTGTGAAACCCAGGAATTCCAATATCACTTCTGCGCAAGGCCCTTTGTCTCATATGCTCTGCTCCGTCATCGGTTCTTTCCCCCACTGTAGTGGGGTTAGGGGCAGCTGAAGTCTTCACTGCAGGGTTCCTATCTTTGATGTTCTTTTCTGTGACAAAGTACCTATTAAATCCCCTTGTGCTTTATTTAAAATATTCCATTTTTAATAAGATTATGATTAATTTTTTTCATGCGTATAAAGTGTTTTAAATTGCTGGGAAGTTGCTGCTGCTATCTATATTTTTCACAAACTTTGTGTGCTAACTTGCTAATGACCTCCGTTATTTTGCTACTAGTTTTAAACTATGTTTTTCGTTGCTAATATTTTATACAATGCTGATAACTTTCGATAGTCGGCTACAGCTATAAATTTTGGGATAAACACGAGGCACATATATTTATAGAGAGCCCTCTTCAGGGCACTGTGAATGAATGTAATTCCTCTGAGATTGCTGTGGATTTGTGGGGTCAGTAATAGGCTAGTAATGTCAGAGGTAGGTAGACCTCAACTTGCAACCATTTATTTAGTGATCATTTGACGTTACAACAGCACTGGAAAAGATTGCTTATGACAGGTTCTCACAGGACCATCACAATATCCCCACAGCCACATGATCTAAATTTGGGACGTTTGGCAACCATATGCATTTACTATGTACGGGTAGATGTACAGGTAGCATCCTGGGATCATGTGATCGCTATTTGTGACCTTCCCAGCCAAGCAAAGTCAATGGGAGAAACTGGATTTGTTTAATAGCTAATAGCTAATGCTATTAGCTAATCAAGCATTAGCTATATTATATTTCTAAAAACTTTGAATGTTTGAGAAGATTTGAAAAATATGCTGAGATCATTCCACTTTCTAGGTGAACGAAATCTAGGTTCCACTATAAAAGCACAAGCCATCCTAGTCAACCTAGCCAAAGAAGGAAAATTGATGTGAAAATGCAAGTTAATACAGGATGTAATCTATGTGAGTGCTGCAGACCTACCCACCATATAACTGCAGCCATTAAATTGAGCGGTAATCAAATATATATATAGTCTGGGAAGAAATTTGTTGCTGAATTCTTGCTACTTATTGTACCAAGTGTTGATTCATGTTGAATCAAACCTGTCTTCTTGTTAATATATCCACCCTACCTGGTCATTAATCAAGAACTCCTTATCTGTTCACACCCTCATTATATTTTAATTAACTAGAGATCATGAATTGTGTCTACTGAAAATTGGCAGGACTAGCAGAAAATCTATTTTTCAGCACAAGGCTGCACCAGTCACTCAAGATACCCACAGAATATAATTATTGTAAAGTTTTTTTAAAAATTACCTGCGTACTGAAGATGGAAGGGTGATCTTAGTTACAAGTGGAAAATCAGAATAAGGAAATCAAGTTGCTTCTTGAATTAATTGCAGTGGGAGGGGGGAAGGCAAAGTAGGGTGGTTTTTTTCAGTTCTAATCTAAGCAAACTGACTCCACTACATGTCCTGAAAAAAGTGAATTTATATGGACATACTTTTAATACATACATTTAATATTTTTCCTTTCCTTTCTTTCCTTTCCTTTCCTTTCCTTTCCTTCCTTTCCTTTCCCTTTCCTTTCCTTTCCTTTCCTTTCCTTTCCTTTCCTTTCTTTGCTATGCTATGCTATGCTATGCTATGCTATGCTATCCTATCCTATCCTATCTATCCTATCCTATCCTATCCTATCCTATCCTATCCTATCCTATCCTGCCTTCCCTCTTCCCCTTCCCCCTTCCCTTTCCCCCTTTCTTTCATGTTAATGCAGGCAAAGTTCCACAACAGTTTTGTATATGGAATACAACTATACTTCGAAAATATTATTTGATAAACTAATCTTATTCAAAGCCAAGACATGAACTGAATGAGAAAACTATTATTTCTGATAGTAATGTGTTTTTAAGGTAAAACAAATTTATTTTCTAACTCCTATTGGACATGAGAGGACCAAATCAGGACAGTAGCTCATGTTAGAGATTGTAACATACATACATACATACATACATACATACATACATACATACATACATTTATCTATCAAATTTATAGGACTGCCCATTTCACACAGTGACTCTAGGCAACATGTAGCTTAAATAAAACAATAAATATATAAAAACAATCATTAAAAGCAGTTATTACTGTCAGATATTACAGATGGATACCAAAAATCCATGTTTAAATTTAATTTTGTTTTCAATTCACATCACTGCCTAGTTCATCCTACTTCAGCACAAAGATAAGAATGTTCCCATAATGTACTGTTCGTCTGTTCTTCTATAATTCTCTACAAATAACTAATGTGTTTGGGGATACCATATGTTGATTTTTGCATCTTTGCTTTGTCATGACACAAGATATTTCTTTTCTCTTTACCAGATATAAAACTTCTTGTGATTGTATTTAAAATGGATGATTATACTAAAAATGTGAAGCATTTTGAGTGCTGAACATTACACTTCACTTATTATTTAAAATAATAAAATTTAAAGTAATTACCATACTTTCTGAGCTCCCTATCCTTCAATATGTTTTTTAAAAAACCCTCTTCATTATATATATAAAAACTTCATTTCCACTGCAGCTGCTAGTTGTTGTTGTTTTGTAAATGAAGAAAGTTTACCGCACTTCACTAAGGAGTCAACAGGTTCTAAAATATATGACATATTTATTTTCTTAGAGAATTTTTATGTTTATAACTAAAATGTATATATTTATCACACAATATATTATTCATTGAGAACAGAGTTGCATATAAATAGAAACTCAGTGTGATTCTATCTTTCTAAAATTTACACTGACTGATGATGATCTTTATTGCAAAAACATATATATGTTATATATGTGTTATATATATAATTGGGAAATGCATACCTAATTTGTAAAAATTTGTCTTATTCCCACCCATATGATGTCTCCGAATACTTTTATAAAATACCATAGAAATTATAGCACATCACTATTTGTATTTCTTTTTAAAATGCCTCATCTATTTTTTACATAATACTTGAGGCAATCAAAACCTGATACATCTATAACTTAGACAAGTAAATGGATATTCGAATGAATTTTTCTGGGTGCATTAATATGCATTGTGTGGGCTTGAATCAACCCAGATTTTTTAAAAATCAAATTTAGATTATGAGAAAATATACAGTTGGCAATGGTAGGAGACTCACCTCGGCGAAAGACTTTGAATTCTATAGAAAATATAACTTTGGATAGAATTATCTATTATACGGTTTTGAGTGTAAAAATGCTCAGCAAATGCTGTCACAGCGAAAACACTAAACCCTTTCTGTGTTAGTCGGCACTTTCAATACCTCTCCTTGCCTGCCTCTTTTTTTTCCCCCATAAAATTTGAAGTGATTGTCTACAATTGGAAGGAAAGAAAAGCATTTGTGCATTGTTTGTAGAGGAGATGCAGCATGTATGTGTATATAGAGATTCTCAATCATCCTGGTCATGGTTCTTTCAAAGGCGTTTTTCCAAAAGGCAACTGGACTTTCTTGTTCTTCTCTTTGAAAACATTTCACTTCTCATCCAAGAAGCTTCTTCAGTTCTTCAGAAAAAGAAAAAAAAAAACAAGAAAGTCCAGTCGCCTTCTGGAAAAAAGCACCTTTGGGGTACAGCATGAAGAACTAGCCACACACGTCTTCAACACACATTTGTGGACGTGAGATCTCCCCCCCCCCCATATTTTGGGAGCAGGTTTGTTTATCTTTTCTTTAAAAAAAGAAAATTCATTAAATCGCTTCCGAGCTCTAACTTCCCCTGCTTGAAAACACCAAGGGATTTCTTCAATCACTTTTAACTGAATGAGGCTCTAGAGACTGCAAGATGCAAGCACTCTGAATGCCATGGCCTTAGCCATGCCAGCTGTGGATGAAAGGCAGTCTTGCATAGGGTCCTCAGTACTTATAAACAGCAGCATATTGGACAAATTAAATTAAAAAGAGAAATGCTACAATGAGTAATGTCTGCCAACCATGCACATACTAGCTCAGACCATAGAGCTGGGTCTGTCTGCAGGGATCTCAACAGAAGGGACAATAATTATAAAGCAGATGCGGACAGATGATGGGGAGAGGAGCAAACGGGTACCAGTCATCACAGAGGAGTCAAAATGGCAGTGGCAATGGCACAATTGAAGCCTTGCTCCATTTCACATGAGCAATATGCCATATGAAGGGGGAGGGGGGGGAGAGAGCTAAGAACCTTGGTGGTGCAGCAGACTAAAGTGCTGTTAAGTAGCACCAGCTGCCTGCAATTACTGCAAGTTCAAATCTCACCAGGCTCAAGGTTGACTCAGCCTTCCATCCTTTCGAGGTAGGTAAAATGAGAACCCAGATTGTGGGGGCAGTAAGCTGACTTTGTATAAAAAATAACACTGCTGGGGGGGGGCGAAAGCCCTACTAAGCAGGTATATACAAAAGTATGAAGGCTATTGCTTAACGTATTGTAAGCCGCCCTGAGTCTCCGGAGAAGGGCGGCGTATAAATCGAACAAATAAATAAAAATAAATAAATAAGTTTTGATTGTGTAGTCATGGTTGCCAGGTAAAATCTTTTGGGGGGCCCATTGTGAATGCCCCTGCAGACA